ATACTAGATGCTTCTTGTGCCAGGCGCTGCATGTGTCATACCTTCCGAAGAGCAACACGAAGCATGTCTGAAACCGGGGGACGCTGTCATTTATTGACTATCTCGAGATTTCGGCGCATGAAAGAAATAACACCCAGGATGTAGTGTAGCAACGGTCACGAAAGTCGAAAGTGTGACCACGGATGTCTGATGCCGAATATCCACTCAATGGTCCCAAGTACGACTGGTCAAGGCAGGACCGAAAAATAATGACAGCTCACGATGCTCATGAGAACAGCAGGACATTCTTCCATGTGACGGGCCAGTGTATCCTTGTCTACCCACAAAGGCAGCATATTAGCTTGAATTACTGCCACTGATAGCCAAGCTCTGAGTCTAGCGTTGACCCGAGTATTGATCCTGGGAATGTCAGTGTATCGAACGGCGGCGTGACAGGATCCGGATCCAGATCCCAATAGCAAGGAAAATGTTGCAGGCCCAACTTGATAATGAGGCGGATGTGAATATAGAAATAAGAATTAGGCAGACATCACGATTAGCGCTTATCCCGTCCATCGTAATAATCTCGATCTCGCCTACGATCGTCTCGAGGTCGGTGATCTCTTTCGCGGTCCCTATCGCTGCGGTGATGCCGCCTGTCATCAGCACCGCGACCACGATCACGGTGCTTCGAGCCGGAATAGCGGTCATCCGACCGGTGATACGGACTCCGACTTCTGCTTCTTCTTCTATGGGGCGGCCGATTATCTCGAGGTTGCGACTCCCTGTCACCATCCCCCCGGGGCCGTTGGGCTCCCCGATCATGGCGGCGCTTCATTTCTTCCTGGCCGTATACCATGCCATACTTGCCGCTAACATCTTCATCGTATTCGTCTCGGTACTGCCTCCTCTTTTCCAGCTCTGCTGCACCACCGTAACCACCCCGCGATGCTCTCGCCTTCCGCTTCTGCGTTTCATCGTTTCTCCAGGCCTCGCTGAGCTTGCTAACACTTTGAGAAAAGTCGACGTGGATTCGGCGGTCATCGATCAAGACGTCTTGCATTTTCGAATAGGCGCCTTCGCATGCACTCTTATCCTCGTACTCGATGAAGGCATATTGTAAACTATCGCCCGTCTTCCTATCCCTAATTACCTCACAGCTAAGAATCTTGCCAAAACGGCCGAAGATAAGCTCGAGATCCTCGTCGGTCGTAACGGGGTTTAGTTTGCACACAAAGAGCACGTTCTCTGGAGGCTTGACTTCGGCAAATGGTAGATCGCCCATCAATTCAAGCGTCAGGGCATTTGCTCTAGCATCTTGTTCTCGTCGGCGCCGCTCAACCTCTTCCTCTCCTAGCCCTTCCTGCTCGCGAAGGGCGGCTTCATCAGCTATCCGAACAGTCGCAAGCTGTGCTTTCGTGGGTTGTGGGGAGCTACTGGGTTCGCGTAGGCCAGACGGGTCGGGGTAAGGGTCGTCGAGAATGATCGTGTGGTTGATCCGGATGTCGACAAGTGGGTGTCCTCGCTCATCGGTGATCGCGCTGTTGATCTTGTCCAAAACATCAAATCCTTCCACCACTTTGCCAAAGATGGCTGCCTTGCCATCTAGGTAATCGGTATCGTCGCCGAGAGTGACGATGAACTGGGACGCGGCAACTCTTGTGTCTGGATCAGACGGCAACGGAACCGTGGCCATGCTGACGGTCCCTCTCTCGGCATGTTTTAGTTTTGGATGGAAGAAAGCGGGAAACGACTTTTTGGACTTGTCGCCGGAGACGAGGCCCCATATAGACGTGCCGCCATCAGACTCGGATGATAGAGGGCCGAGAGGATCGCCGGTCTGGAAGGAAAAGTTCTTTTGAATCGAATGGATCGGTGAGAAGTTGTAGTACTTGATCTTGCAGAGCTTCAGAAAGTTTTCGCAGAGCTTTGGAGCGTAATCCACTAGTAAGTCAATTACCACATCGCCTGAACTCGTCTCTATAAGCACCGACATGGCGGATGTGTGCTGGCTTGAGGGTAAAAAGGCAGAGCAGAAGACTATAAACAAGGAAGTCGGGAGGGGGTGGGAGATAAGTTGGGTCGAGAGATGTTGAAGAAGGCGAGGTTCAGCCTACTTGTTCGTGCCTTCCTCTTCAATTCCCAAAAATTAGAGGCTAAGTTCGCTGCACTGTACGACTTTCAGCCAATCAGAATTCACTTTCCCGAGAGCTCAATGGACCCACTTCCGGCGCCTTGCACCTGCCCCACGGTGACCCTGAGATTTTTTTTTTTTTTTTTGTCGACTCTTCCTGCCCTCTCTTTTTTTCTGCCTTCTTCCGATGCCTTCACTATAGGTTTCATTAAACCTAGACACTCCAACAGCAAGGCCTCCCCAAATTCAAGCAGGAGGAATAAACAACACTCAAATTAAAACGCCTCTTTCCAATTGTTCAATTGGCCTACCTTTGACACACGAACACATACATCCGACCACTCTCCTCCAAACTACCTGCGCAGCATGGGTGCCACCGACACTAAACCTTCCAAAAAGCGCCGGCAGAGCGAGGATCCAGAGGCGGCTGCAAAGAGGAGACAAAAGAAGCAGAAGAAGACCCCGCTATCTGCCGAGATAATAACATCAGACGTTGAGTCTGCACCTCCCTCTCCCCCCCTAGCCGCCAACGGCAAGAGCCAAGGCTCCAAAGCGGAAGATGGCGCCAAGGCCAAGAAGGACAAAGCCAAAAAGGCCGCTGCTGCTGGCATATCCGCGTCGCAGCAATCAATCCTAGATCCCATCGAGGTCTCTCTCACCCCGCCCCCGGATACCCAAGACAAGAAGAAGTCGAAGAAGAAAAAGAAGCGAGATACCGAAGAGGAGCTCGGGGCGACAAATGGCGCTAGCACGGGTCACGTAGAAGACGAGTCCTCCACAAAGGTCAAAAAGGAAAAGAAGGATAAGAAGAAGAAGAAGAAACACGACGATGCCGATGTCGCCGATGCTGACGAGAAGAAGACGAAAAAGGAGAAGAAGGACAAAAAGAAGAAGAAGAAGGATCGAGACGCCGATGCAGATGAGGATACTCTCAACGCAAAGAGGGAAGCTTCAGTTGACCTAGGCTCCCAAGCACCACCAGCGGCCCAGAACGGGGCCGACGTATCCTCAATGCCTAGATTACCCACCACCACCCCCGAAAAGAAGCGAAGGCGCAAGGACAAGTCTCTCGAAATCCAAGCCACTCCGCCCCCCGAATCGCCCAAGGCTGCCGCGTCCACCACAGCTCACCGATTTTCGACGCCGTCGGTGCAGGCTGATGCCCGTGCAGAGACTGCCTCATTCACCAAGACCTACGCGTCTGCCGATGCGGACTCTGAGCCTTCCGGGCCTCCTCCCGTTATCAACCAGGAAGTCGCGAGATGGATACCTCTGTGGCCTCGAGGATGGGACCAGCCCATCACGGCCGCCATCGAACAACACCTCACCCCCAAGCTTCACCGATATGACGGCGAGATTGGCGGAGTCCTTCTAAGCTTCAAAAATGTCTCCCTTAATGACAAGCCCACCCGAGAAGGCGCCGCCACGACAGACGAAGAGTCCGTCAAACTCCTCAGCGTCAACGAATACGGTGTGGGCTACTGCTGGCTCATCGCGGACCTCGAGCTCTTCATGCCCAAGCGAGGCGCCTGGATGGAAGGAGAGCTCATCCTCCAGAACCAAGGCCACGTGGGAGTAGTCTGCTGGGGCAAGTTCAACGCCAGCATCGAGGCGAAGCGTCTCCCTCCCAAGTGGTACTGGGTCGCGGCGCCCGAAGACGACGGCGACGTTAACATGGACATGAACGGCGACGGTGACGGCGGCGAGGAGCACCCGAGCGCCACCGTCCTAGGCCACTGGGTCGACGAGGCCGGTAACAAGATCAACGGCAACCTCCGCTTCCGCATCAAGAACTACGACGTCGGTCTTAGCGGCGATCACAGCTATCTGTGCATCGAGGGCACGATGCTGAGCGAGAACGAGGAGAATCGCCTGAGGGAACGGGAGCTCAAGAGGGCGAACCTCGGATCTACCGTTGGTTCGTTGCGTAGGCGGCAGCGTGCACTTCCGGAGTTTAGCATGACGGATCTTGGTGTGGACGCGGATGCGGAGAAGAAGAAGAAGTCGGATTGGGGAGTGAGGACGCCGAAGAAGCGGGAGAGGAGGGAGCCGAGGGAGCAGGTGGAGCAGGGGGAGCAGTCGAGTGAGGGGGGAGCGGAACCTATGAATGTTGATGTTGAGGAAGACGAGGAGTAGAATGTGTTTTACTTCCCAAAAACGCGGCTGTCTGATGTGCTTGTAGTTTTTGTTCAATGTAGCTTGGTTGATCAGGGATTCCTTCGATATTTAGTCCGGTCTGAAGATGAGGGATAAAAAGCAAGTCCGATGATTTTTACTTCATGATTCCCGCATTCTTCAAGGCTTTCTAGATTCTCACCCACTTTTGTTACTTCTAGTCTGGAATGGACCATTCAAATATCCTATGACACACATTCTGCCCTCGATATCCCCTCTCGTCTCGTCGAAGCCCGGTTCTTTCTGTATTACATCGTATTCTCCGGCGCCAAATACTCGGTTCAATGCCTCATCCTTTCCACCGCTGCATTTTCTATGAGCTCGCATTCTATTTGACTGTGTTTGGCTCGGGATGTAGGCCTTCACTCACCTCGACGATCAGGTAGCTGGAGTCCCAACATCATCGGGTATCTAGAAGCCACTCAAAGCCAAGAGAATCCTTGACGTCAGATCGTTCCTCCGACGCAAGCTTGGGTATTCGCCCAAGAAAGCTCAAGAATTTAACTCATTTAGAACTTCGGGGCTCAAGTTTTGACAGAAACTATTCAAAGCAAAGGGTGGGACTGTGTTGTCCGTGGACTTGTTAACAAGGAATTGAATTTTTATGTATTATCTATCATCATTCATGCCCAAATTCTCAAGTATCATACCTTGATTCTTTTGAGGCTCTCATGTATTATTCGTTTATCAAATCCCCCCTTCTCATCAAAGCCTACTCAACCTCGCAGAACGCCTTAAACGTAACGAACTCGTCATCAGGTCCGCCACGAGACTCGAGAACAAGCTCGGCGGTGGCACCGACGAAGTAGACATATCCCTCCTCCATATCTTCAACCTTGGGGCCGACAGAAATCTTGCCCTTGCCCTTGGTGCAAATGACAACGCTAGGGCCCTGAATGGGCTCAAAGGTGGCCTTGGCACCGTCACCATTGAGAGTGGTGCGGATAACGGCGAACTCATCGATGGGAGGATCGTAGAGGGTCACGGACGAGCTGGAGCTGTAGCCAGTACGGTTGAGGGTGGCGTATGGGTACTCGGTAGGCTTCATCTTCTGCTCCTCAATGGGGGCAAAGTTATAAGTGAGGGTGCTGACGAGAGTGCTGACGTCCTTGTATTTAGGCGTGAAGCCAGCACGAATGACATTGTCAGAGGAGGCCATGCATTCGACAATGTCGCCCGAGATGTAGGCGTGGATGTCGTCGGCGGTGAGGAAGAGAGCCTCGCCGGGCTGGAGCTCGACGTAATTGAGGAAAAATTGGACAAAGAGGCCAATGTCGTTGCCATACTGGCCGTAGAGGCGGCGTACAAGCGCAGCCATCTTCTCGCCAGAAATGGAAGGAACGCCGCCAGCAGCAAAGTTGGCGCCCTCAGAGTCGGCAAGCTTGATGAGCTTCTCGGTTTCGGCGTCGACGTCGGACTGCGAAGAGGCCATGAGGCTGCCAAATGTCTTCTGGAGAATCTTCTTGCTCTTGGCGGTGGCCTCTTCCGAGGCGTCCTCAGCCTGAGCCTTGGCGTTGGCAATGAACTCGTCGGCGAACTCGGCACCGACAAGGGCCTTTAGGGGGCTAACGGTCTCGAGAAAGTGGGCGATCTCGGCGAGGGGTCGGAAACCGCAGAGGCCCTCGAAGGGAGTGACGGCAATGGCCATCTCGGGTTTGTGGTTGTCATCGGGGTAGTTCTTGGGGTCCCTGGCGTGGAGCTCCTCGGCAAGCTTCTTGTTGGGGTGGGCTTGGATAGAAAGAGCAGTATCGATGGAGAGAATCTTGAGGAGGAAAGGAAGCGTCTCTCCGTATTTAGCAGTGACGGCGTCGGAAAGGAGGGCCTTGTTGTCCTGGACGAGGTCGAGTAGAGTACGACCAGTGGTCAGGTCCTTGGAGGGGTTGGAGGGGTGGGTGCCCATCCATAGCTAGAGAGACGCGGGGCTGTGAGTTGGCGGTGTGAAATAAGAGGGCAGCGAAAACAGCTATCAGGCAGATGATGCTAAGACAGACCCTGCCTAACAGCAATTGCAAGCACAGAGGAGTCTATCAATAGCTTCACATCCCAGATATCCACCCTAAGCTTCTTAGGCAGTTTACTTACCTCGGAGTAGGGCTTATCTGACTGGATGGAGAAGTCGCCAGCAGGAGTGGCAGCAGCGAACTTGGCAGCAGTAGAGTCATGACCCTTCTTGCCCCAGGCATAGGAGTTAACTCCACATTGGAGCCTCAGCAAAGGGACCTGCATAGTGAAAGGGTGATTTGCTCTGTCGGAAAGAAAGTAAGTGATTGTTGGAGGTGAAGGAGAGGCGGCAAAAGAAGACTTGAGCAGAGCTTCAGGTCCAGATCGAATCCTTGGTCTGACGTAATTTTGAGATGGGGCGGGAGAGAGGAAACGGGACCAAGACTTGGCTTTTAAAACTATATTCCCCAGTGGGTATTTATTTTGTGGAAGGGGGAAGCTAGGAGAGAGAAAAAGGAAAAAAAAGGGGGGAAGGGAAGAGGAACTAAATTGAAAGGTAGTTTGGCTTAGGGGGAAGGCGCAAGCATTGGGGTCACCTGGGAACATGGGAACCTGACGATGGAACTCGACTCGACTCGATCGTTTGGCAGTTCAATGATGGAAAGAGGCAGGTGGGGTGAACAATAGGCTCTTGAGCTCAGAGACAACAATGCTGCATGGGGAGGAGGGGCAAAATGGTGGGGGAGGGGAGCATCTTGGGAGTCAATTGAGTCGGTGTAGGGGTCTAACTGCAGACTATGGACTGAGGGAGCTTAAAGGAACAATCAATCGATCCACTCAGAGGTCGGTTAATTCCATTTCCAACATTCTGAGCATTTACTTCGTATAAATGTACCCGGTAGCCGATCGACTTGTATGAATTGTTGCATTGGCTTCAGATTTACCCCCAAAAAGGAGGTCGAGAACGAGATGAAGGTTAAAATGGGTCGACAGCCGCTCGCAGCTGCACCACCTCATCGCCCGATGTGTCGGCTAAGGCTATCCCCGATTGGCTTCCCCGCGATGCATCTACCAAAGTCCAGACAGACTTCGTCGTCCATAGGATTGGTACGTACCGACACGCGCCGCCCGTGAATAGCCTCAACACTAGACGACCTGCCTCAGTCCTTCAAAACCCACAGCACCTTAGCATTTGCCCCTACGGTATGAGAAGACCACACACCTTTCTGGAAATTCGACTTATATCTTCACCATTCATTACAATCAATTTGATCGAATACTCGTAGTTGGAGCTTATCCCTTAGTCCCCGTCATCCTTTATTGTTGATACTGGGCCTCAAATCCATCCACCAGTCATCGTCATCAAAAGACCAGGAAGTCGCCATCCTTGTGTTGACATTTTTTACACATCTGCATGTGAAGATAACTTGGACTTGCTCCTACCCTAAGTTGCAAGTTTTGCTGCACTTGAGGTTAATCCAGCAGCTGCACCCCTCACATATCTATATCCATTTCCTTCTTCTCTTTTTGCCTTGGTGCCTTTACCTTCTCCCTCTTCTCACATACATCGTACATCGTACATCATACCTACACACCTTTTGATCTTCGCCTTCTACCTATCTGTTAATAGAAGTAGGAAGAACTCTCTCAAATCGCAGGTAAGAAGGAATCAGTTTTCTTTCTCTTCCAAATTTCTTTCTGATCTGTTTTCTCTGCTTCCCTTGTATTTCTACCCTTCCAGGAGGCACTTCCTCTCGTCCCACCTCTCCCCTGCTTTCTATCAAAACAATCTTGTCTTTTGCTGCAGTTTCATCTTCTGCATGGACCAAAACATTACAACATTTGAAGCCTCTTTTCGTTTTTCTTTTATTTCCTTGTCGAGGATACATCCGTCATCCATCGTCTCGTGTTCTCAGTTTCGTCTCCTCTATTCCTACCACAAGTTTCTTACGTTATACGTTCCAAAGCCGTCATACCTCATCATCCCAACTCTCCATCAGGTGTTCTCTTCAGGCAGAAGCAGAGTAGAAGCTGGCAATTATGGCTGACAAGGAACGCAAGAAGCTGAAGAGTACCTTCACACCCCAATTTGTGGCGCCACCCACTCGCCGAGACCCCTAGCAGCGTTCTCAGGAGAGGCGTGCCGGCACTTCTGACGCCGACGCCCAGTCTGCAACTGGCAGCGAGCCCAGTACGCCGAGCTCTAAACCCAACACGACGAGCTCCAAGAAGAAGGGTGCCATGTCGCAACGTAATCGCAGTGGCCGCGGCCTCAACCGTAACAATGGAGGCACCCACGGCGAAGAAGTTGCGCTGTGGGACTCGGTAAAGGACAAACTTCCCGAGATCCTTGCGCAGATCAACGAAGACACTCGCAACCTCGACGAGCTCCTCAAGCTCGATGCCGAGGCCGCCGCCTACCGGAAGAAGGGAAAGGAGCCGCCGGCTAGCCTCCTCGCCAAGATGGAAACGCACTGTCGCAAGGGTGTCAAGGGTACTGAGGCGATTAAAAATGAGATTGCCACCTCTATCGAAAAGATTGGAGTCCTCCGCGCCATCATCCAGGCCAACAAGGACCAGGGCGGTACGGACGCGGGCTCCGGTCCCGCCACGACTGCTCGATCTGCCGCATCTTCGCGTCCTACTCGTGATAGGGATAGGGACCGAGACCGGGATCGGGACCGGGATCGTGAGCGAGAGCGCGATACCAGGGAGAGGGACGCCGCCGCCACGTCTTCACTTTACGACTTTGACGGTTCTGGAGAGTCTCCTGTTAGAAGCCCCATGGGCGGTTCTGCTCGGAGATTTGGAACCGACCGTTCAAGCAACCGGGACAGCATTCCGCCTCAGTCAGACAGCGCAGAGCCAACCTCGGGACCCGGAAGCACCTCGGCCGCCGCTACTGGTGCGGGTACAACCAGCCAAGCTAAGTCCAAGGTAGTGTTCAACAAGGGCGACGAGGTTGCCTTCCGACCTAAACAGGTCAGTGGCGGAGAGCAGCCCGATTGGATTCTCGGTGAGGTGGCCGCCGTTATCGGTGATGGTAAAACGCGCCGCTACAAGGTTATGGATATTGAGCCCGATGAGTCCAGCAAACAGCGAGAGTTCCGCACGTCGGCGTCCAACATGATTCCCATCACGCCCGAATCGCAGGCGGCCTCCCTCCCCGCCTGGGAGGCCAGGAAGGTGGTTCTCGCCTTGTATCCGCAGACCACAACGTTTTACAAAGCGGAAGTTGTGAGCACCTCGGCCGATGGAAAGGTTAGCCTCCATTTCGAGGGCGAGAGCGATTCAGCTACGCTCCAGCAGGTTGAGCGTCGGTTTGTGGTCGAGTATCGACCTTGATTTGTCAAGTCTTTTCTTTTCCTGGTTTATTCGGGGGTGGGTGTTACTTCTTGATTTACAAGTTTTTTTTAAGGTGTAAGGAAAGGGAATCGGAAAGGCGAATACTGCGGTTTCTGTGGAATTAGCATGGTTTGGTTTATTCTATCTTGAGTGTATAGACCCGAAGCGGCCTGGGTTTTCCTTCGGGTTGAACTCTTGAGTAATTCAGCGCGTTCACTCGTTCCCTCGAAACTGATATGGTGACTCGATCACATTGAATTTCTAACGAATTACGATGCCCCTCACTTCCTCAGATCCAGAGAGACAGTCGTTGGGGACCTGCATGAATGTTTAAGAGGAGCCCAAGACGTGTCTTCGAAGTGATAATAAAGGTGAACATCAGCGATTTGCGCAACAGACCGGGGCGTCAGAGGGCGAAGAAAAGGGAGAAGAGAAACCCCCCCCCCCCCCCCCCCCCCCCCCCAAAAAAAAAAAAGAAAAACTATGTTGCGGTGAGCCGGGATTGAACCGGCGACCTTTAGATGTCTTTGAAACCGAAGTATTTCTTCAGTCTAACGCTCTCCCAACTGAGCTATCCCCGCAAGACTCCATTGGATGTTGGGAAGCGGTAACGTAAAAAGTGTATACGAAGTAAGGCCCAAGTCCGGGGACGACTACTTTTTTGTGGGTGTGCCAGCGATGTTTGAGCCCTTTTTTTCTGTGGCAGAAAAGAGAAAACGATTTCTTGGAGAACATGTGGGTAAACAACCCTGATTGGCTGGTTTCTCAGCCAAGTTCAACCGAACCTCTACCGAAACGCCAGTTAGTTTGGGAACCTGTTCCCAGGGAGGAAAACCTCTTCTTCCCCAATCAAGAACCGATATTCCCAATAGAACAGATCCACACCAGTGACATGATGCACATCGGGCGGAAGTTTATTGACGGATTCAAGGATAATCTTGAATATTTTTGGTGGTAGCCAATGATGCGGCGCGATGGTGTTTGAAACGTTTCGTTCCCTCTACGCTAGTGATGTAGTGTACTTCGTCCATGCACTAGAACAGGTATAGTGGAGCGAGCTCGGGCCTCTGCAGAACAGACTTACTCCTTTCTACGAAGTAATTTGAAGGAAGTGGTTATTGAAATTGATGATACTGTTTGTTTCCTTCTGTTTATTTGGGCGGGCTGGTTCCAGGCTGGGTCTGGAATTGTTGTCGAATTTTTTCTTCGTATTTCCTTCGAGGAGATAACGCTAGAGACGGAGCACTGTGACCGCCAGACTCAATCAATTGAGTAATGCATTTTGGCAGCTTGAGCCGCGACTTCCTTCCCCAAATTACATGGGGTGGTTCAATTTCATCAATGTACTTGACATGGTGATGGATGGGTACTTCGTAGTGGTGTACAAAGTACTGCCATACCCCAGTACCTCGCTACTTATGTAGCTAGACCTTAATTAGCGTTCTGCACCGCGTGCTACCCCGAGATTGAAGGCAAGAGCGGCTGGGCGTGCCTTGCACTATGCACTAATAAGCACCAAACTGCCAATCGAGATCAGTGCGTTTGCCCCTGAGGCTTCCAAATCTGCCGCTGGAGAGTTCGATGCGGTTGAAACGCCCCGAAGATTTGACATCAATCAAATGATGACCCCGACATTTGATTGAACCATTGATCCCTGATTCTCTCTGATAGCCTCGATTGGACCGGAAGGCCCCTCTTGCTCTAAGACAGAAGGCATTGGTTGATTCCAGACGGCTCTGTGCCAGTGCCTGTCAGTGTCAGTGTCAGTGTCTATGTGAACCCCCTGGGCAGGAGATGTAGCCTTGCCTTCTGTCGCAATTAGTTACCCCTGCCTCTTCTCACATCTATCCACCCCTTTCCCCCCATCTTCTTCCCCATTGTCAATTTGGCCTTGTGGTCTTTGTGATCCCTGCTCTCATTGCCAGTTTGCTGCCCTACTGTTGCTTTTCTTGTACTCCTTTCTGGAATTGGCTTTCTTTTCTTCTCCCAGCCCCAGGGCCTTGTTCACGGAATTCTGTAATAGGTTCGTAGCCTTGTCTGGCTTTCTCACCCATCCTCCTCCATCATGGGATGTGATAATGAACTGATGAATGGTTGCTAATCTCTCCTTTACTTTAGCTTGAGGCCTAAGATCACGAAGCGCAGCGTTGCCCACTTCCTGGATGAACAGCTTGCTTGACAGCAAGCCACTTCTTCCCCCTAATTAAAGTCCGATCTTCTTGCAACCACCAAAGCCTACATCCGCAACAACCATATTGTCCCCTTCTTGCTCCCCTTTTTCCAAACAAATATCTCCCCGACGACGACGAATCGATACCTTCCTATTCAAACCTCGACGCGTTCCTGATACCCAGTCTCCTTTCTCCCTTCCTCCAGCCATCTCGACAAACATCTCCTCTTGAATCTCTGTCGCGTCAAACCCCTTTCAACCTCGATTCACGCAAATCTCTCGAGAATATCGAAACAAAACACCGGAAATTACACTCCCCTTCAGTTTTATCAGCATCCCTTCCCCCACCGACAAAATGGGCGGCCAATTCTCCAAGATGATGGGCAAGATCTTCGGATCAAAGGAAATGCGCATCCTCATGCTCGGCCTCGATGCCGCCGGCAAGACCACCATCCTTTACAAGCTCAAGCTTGGCCAAGACGTCACCACCATCCCTACCGTCGGTTTCAACGTCGAGACTGTCACCTACAAGAATGTCAAGTTTAATGTCTGGGATGTTGGTGGTCAGGATAAGATCCGTCCTCTCTGGAGGCATTACTTTAGCGGTTAGTTGCGATCTTTTTCTATTAACCTACTGGAAAGTTTCTCCGCACAAAAAGGGGAGGAAAGGGGGTGGTGGAATAAGAAGCGGAAAGTATCGCGGTTTTAGTTTGGATTTGGCATAACTAACGGGTTGGTTCTTTCGTCACTTTAGGTACCCAGGGTCTCATTTTTGTCATTGACTCTTCGGACCGCGCGCGTATCGAGGAGGCCAAGCAGGAGTTGCACAGGATTATTAACGATCGCGAGATGAAGGATAGCTTGCTCCTCGTGTTCGCTAACAAACAAGATCTCCCTGATGGTAAAGAAATCCCCTCCTCCCACTCCTCTACCCATCCTCCATTCCTTCCTTTCTCAGCAAGCGGAGGAGAAAACGCCGGGAAGAGAAAAAGAAACACATCGAGATGATGAACTCAGGACCGGTTTGCTAATATTTTTGGTCTGCGATTTTTTAGCCCTCAAACCCACCGAAGTCACCGAGGCTCTCCAGCTCTCCAAGCTCAAGGACAAGGTCTGGTACGTCGTGCCCAGTTGCGCGACCACGGGCGAGGGTCTCCTCGAGGGTCTTGCTTGGTTGTCCAACAACGTAAAGGCACCCCCTGCGCCGGCGAAGAAGTAGGAATTCCTCACCTCTACGCGTTGAACCCCCCTTTTCCGCTTCCTCGGTCACCGAGGCCGATTAACCTGCCTTTGCAACCCATCACGCCTGGGCCATCCCCGAAACGAACGAACGAGAAGGCGATTCCATGCTTTTTGCAGCAAGAGAAAGAGAGGATGGATGGAAAAAGCTAGGAAAGAAGAGCAGAGTTGTGAAGAAGATGCCTAGGCAGAAGATACCACGGAAAGAAGGAATGACGAAGACTTTCCCAGCAGTCCACAGAATAATGATTCCCATCCCCTTTAATCAGAAACCCGTTACCCCATGTTCACGCGCAATTTTCTCTCGATACCTTGTTTATTCCATGCTTCCTCGAATCCCCCGCCTGTTCTATGCTGGAGAAATATCTACGTCACCCATCTCGAAGAGAACTGGAATTGTTTTTCTAGCCCGAAGGAATCCTCCAAATGCCCTGTTTCTCCCTGCAAAGTTCCAAACTGTGCGGTCATATATCTTGTCCTTTTAGTGGATGTTTTCTTCCTTTTCTTCTTGTTCATTACGGGATAGATACCTTTTTTTTTTTCTTAAACATTTATGTTTTTGGAACCTGTTTTTTAGCCTTTTTTTTCGGTGTCATGTTTTTTCATGTCTTTAGGAAGAAATATATAGCGTGCTTTTTTTTTATTCCCCCTTCTGGTGGTTTGAATTCACTTTCTGCGTTTGGTTGATTCGAGAGATCGGTCTTGAGCTTCTGCGGCCGCTTCCCCGTTCGCTCGAGGAGATTTGGGGGATGGAGGATCGAGAGGCTGGCTCGTTGGGGAGACGTGTTTTGGCGGTACCGGAGGGAGATAGAAGAGGACCACATTTTTTTTTTCTTCTTTCATGGTGATTCCCTAGAATGTGTTGGTGTGTGTGACGATAGAGAATAGAAAACAAGTTCGACTGACGCAAGATATGCTGCTGTATGATTTCCTATAAAGTACGGATGCTTTGCCTTCCCGCTATACAATGAGCCAAAGAAAACCAAGCCCGACGCCGAACCCATAAACACAATATGCGCTGTACCGAACCATCCTGGGGACAAAAATGAAGACAAAGGACCAAAATTGCACCTCGGACCCAAGAATTCCGGACCGAACAAAATATCACCAGGGGAAAAAAGAAATCACGGAGCGCCCACCAAAGTCAACCCAATTCAACCCAATCCAAAGTAACCATCAACCACGAGTCAACAACCCAGGCCCCTTCGACACGCCAGGTACCTAACCATCTTTGACCCTCTTCCCAGGCCTCACAAGCGAATCATCCGGCAACCCGCTCCTCTTCGTCCCCGGAAGACTATTCGTCCGAATATCATTATCGTCCTGCGTGACCCTCCGCCTCGGATACTCGTTAGGCAGACCGTCGAAGCAGCTTGCGACGAGGCGATCGCCCGTGCTGAAGAAGGCGTGCTCGAGGGCTTGGGCGGCCGTGAGGCGCTTTTCCGGGTCGTATTCGAGGAGGCCGGAGAGGAGGTTGTAGCCCTCGGTGCCGAGGGAGGCGAGCGGGGAGCTGGAGGTGGAGATGCCGGTGGGGGCGCTGGAATGGCCCTGGGTGATGGTGCTGTAGTACCATTTTTCGAGGTTGGACGTGTTGACCGGTTGGCCGTGGTGCCTGTGCTGTTGCGAGTGGTGGTGATGATGGTGGTGGTGGTGCTGGGAGTGAGGGTGGTGGGAGGAGGAAGAGGAGGTCATGGGGGCTTGGAGGTTTCGGAGCTGCATGTACTCGGGCATGGCGGCTAGCAGGGGCCACTGCTCCTTCGTCGGCATGCCCATGATGTCGATAATCTTTTGCATCTGGTTTCGCTGGAAGGGGACCGTCTTCTTGCTGTCCATCTTGGCCTCTTCACCCTTGAATATCGGACGCAGGGAGAGCAGTTCCGCAAAAATGCACCCCACGGCCCACATGTCGATGGCGGGGGTATAGTGATGACTTCCCAGGATGAGCTCGGGTGCTCGGTACCAGATCGTAACGACGACCTTGTCGCCACTAAACAACGAGTGCAGGGGCTTGTCGAAGCGTCTGGCCAGACCCAAGTCTCCAATCTTGACCTCACCAGCCGAGGTCACCATGATGTTCGCGGGCTTCAGGTCTCGATGGAGCACCCAGTTCGTATGGAGGTACTGGCACCCATTAAGAAGCTGGAACATAATACTCTTGACCATGCCGGGTGATATGGGGTGGCGGGGCTGCTGGTTGTGGTGGTGGATGATCTGAAGCAAGTCGTGCTCGGCGAATTCGAACACCATGAAGATGCACTTGTCCTCGAGCATGATCTCGACGAGTTTGATGACGTTTTCGTGCTTCAGCTCGGTGCAGAGGGACATTTCTCGGATGGCGCTCTGGGAGATGCCCGTGTAGGTGATTTGCTCGCCCTCCTTGTCGGGCTTGAACTTTTTGATGGCGAACTCACCCGGCTTGCCGCCTCGGGCGAGGGCCTTGTAGACGCGACCATAGGTACCGCTGCTGATGAAACCAACAACCTTGTACTTGTCTGTCACACGAATCTTGGGTTGATATGTGATGTTTCCAAGCCCACGCTCTGCTTTTCTGTTAGCTGCAATTATATGAAAACAGGGGAGGTGGGAATGAGAGAGGGGGGGTGAGCCAGTGAGTGGGCAGTAAGAGAAAGGGTGAGAAAGAGACTAGAAAATGGCCAGGAACAAAAGAAACATTTTATATAAATGGATCGGGGGTATACACACTATACACACCTTCAAACGCCGCTTGAACGCTGTGCTTGAGGGTTTGGCTCCTGGAGCCGGGGATTGAGCCAGGACATGATGCTCCTGTGGGAGGGTTTGTGTGGCCCATCACAGTCGACGGACAGGATGAGGGCCGTTTAGGTTAAGAGAGGAATTATTCGGTCTCGAATCCAGCAATATGCTATAAGGCAAACGAAGGACCAGAGAACATGGTTGGTTGAAGCTCGACGACTATGAGGGAAGGATGAGCTACGGTTTTATGTGGCAAAAGGCGGCTCCAGGCCCACCGTATGCTCGAGGGAGGCGATGGGCAAGGGACGCAATTAGAGATAATTACTCGGGAGATTAAAGGATACAAGAAGAGAATTGAGTTTCGATAGAGTATGGTGAGGCTTCCGGACTGTCTAGGAAATGCCCATGGGATGAAGAGAGTAGACTTGATAGCGGGAAGAGTGAGCAGGGCATCCTGATTCTCGGGCTCAGTCACTTGGTCATGGTGAGGTTGAGGAGGTTGGACTGGTGACTAAGCAAAGACGCCGCCGTGCGAAATTTAGACGAAGCAGGTCCGCTCTTCTCCCGTCACAATTGCAGGAGTCTTGGTGCGTCCAAGTCGAGGTCCAACCCCACTAGACAGGCACTACCGCAGCAGTAGCCAACGTCAACGTCTCCGTGCCCACGACTGCCCCGGCTGGCCTCATCTACATCCCCTTCCTTCGCAAGGGACACACCACACGCTCTTGGGTTTTACCCCTAGATATTCCAATTCAATACCATCCTTTCTCGATCCATTCCCTTCCCCCTTACCTTTCCACCATGACCGCCCCTATAGGTACGTTACGTCAGAGAGCTCCTAACCCCCGCTCCCACTCTCGAGATGCCCTAGGCTTCCTCGAGCACCAAACCGAAGCTCAACACACACCGCCACGATACTCCTTGCGGTTACCATCCTTGCCTCTCTGATGTGTCTATCTTTATGTGTACGTTTGGACTAACTCGAGTCGTTGTCACCGAACAGTCCTCGACGGAGGAACCGGGTTCCTCAAAGTAGGTTACGCGGCGCAGAACTTCCCCGAGTTCCAGTACCCGTCGATAGTCGGCCGGCCGATCCTTCGAAGCGAGGAAAAGGGCGACAATGACCTCGTCATCAAGGACATTATGTGCGGCGACGAGGCCGCTGCCGCCCGCACCATGCTGCAGATCAGCTACCCGATGGAGAACGGCATCGTGAAGAAGTGGGAGGACATGCAGCACCTCTGGGACTACACCTTTTTCGAGAAGATGAAGATCGACCCGCGCGGTCGCAAGATCCTGCTTACCGAGCCGCCTATGAACCCCTTAAAAAATCGAGAGCAGATGTGTGAGGTTATGTTTGAGCGGTATGGCTTCGGAGGAGTTTACGTCGCTATTCAGGCTGTGTTAGCTTTGTATGCTCAGGGTATGTCGGGAGTGACCTCTTTCGCATTTCAAGAGAGCGAATGTTTCTGGAATTCGCTGTTCTGCGTTTTCTTTTTCGAAGCTGCTGGTTAAATGCTGACTGTCTATTGTCTAACCAACAGGTCTCAGCTCTGGCGTTGTCGTCGACTCCGGCGACGGTGTCACCCACATTGTCCCCGTATACGAATCCGTCGTCCTCAACCACCTCACCAGGAGATTGGACGTCGCCGGCCGAGACGTCACGAGGAACCTCATCGCCCTCCTCCTCCGCCGCGGCTACGCCCTCAACCGAACGGCCGACTTCGAAACTGTGCGGCAAATCAAGGAGAAGCTTTGCTACGTCTCGTACGACCTCGAGCTCGACAAGCGCTTGAGCGAGGACACGACCGTGCTGGTTGAAAGCTACACACTCCCCGACGGGCGGGTGATCCGGGTCGGCAGCGAGAGGTTCGAGGCGCCCGAGTGCCTCTTCCAGCCCCACCTCGTCGACTGCGAGCAGCCCGGCATCGCCGAGTTCCTGTTCAACACGATCCAGGCGGCCGACGTCGACGTCCGATCCTCGCTCTACAAGGCCATCGTGCTCTCGGGTGGAAGCAGCATGTACCCCGGTCTGCCGTCGAGGTTGGAGAAGGAGCTCAAGCAGCTGTGGTTGACGCGCGTGTTGGGTGGGAACCCCGAGAGGCTCAGCAAGTTTAAGGTGCGAATAGAGGATCCTCCTCGTAGGAGGCACATGGTGTTCCTTGGCGGTGCGGTGCTGGCCAATATTATGGCTGATAAGGAGAGTATGTGGGTGACGAAGCAGGAGTGGGAGGAGCAAGGCCCCAGGGTGCTCGAGAAGCTTGGTCCCAGATAAAATCCCCGGGAGGAGGGCTTATATCTTTATGTTTACGATGGGTTTCTCAAAGCGCGGTCTGTTTCTCTGTACGGGGCGGACAAATCGGAAAAGTTTCTTTCCTGGTTGGGGAGCAGAGGGCAACCCATGGACTTTGGTGCATTAAAGGCGGAGGATTAAGGGGAGAGGAGAGGGTGAGGAGAGCGAATGATGGCCCTGCGTTTTAAGACTTGATGATTTAAATAAAATTCTATATTCTCTTGATAGATGTTTGTCTATCCGCATATCCCTTGTATTTCTAGCCGTGCTATTTCTTCTGTGTAGTTGTCTCGCGTTAGCTTCGGGTGTGGTGCAGCCCGCCGCAATCCGAGGAGCTTTAAAAGTGGCCAAGGTGGGGGGGAAGTGATGATGCGGGGCATTCGCGTTAAGTGCGTTCCGACATCCAGCTAGCCAACCACTTTATCAAGCAGCCCAAGCCAAGATCTGATGCAGCATTTATTCACACTTTGTCTTCTCTTTCAAACCTATCCCATCCTATATCACAGACTTTCCTTTTTGGAAAAAGAAACAAAAAGACAACCCCCACCAAAAACACCCTATCTACTCGCTTTTATCCGGTCATTTTCCTCGTTCGTCAACGCCAAAAAGCATGTCGGAACCACAAAAGATCTCGGTCCTCTTCGTCTGTCTAGGGAATATCTGCCGGTCAACCATGGCCGAGGGAGTGTTCCAGTCTGTGGCGCGGAAGGAGCCGTATAGGGGTCTTGTGGACCGGATTGATTCGTGCGGAACGGGTATGGATCTTTTTTCCCCTGTATCTTTAATTCTTTTTTTTTTCACGACGAGGAAGAAAACGGGGCGGATTAGAAAGAAAGGGTTGTGGTTAACCAACTTCCAACAGCGGCTTACCACGTCGGTGACACGCCCGATCACCGGACGATGCTCACCCTCGAATCCAATGGTATCAAGAACTACCGCCATCGAGGTCGCCAGGTAAGGAAGAGAAAAAAGAAAGAAAAAGAAAAAGAAAACTCCTTCCCCAACTTATATTCCTTCACATCTCCTGTCCCGCAAGTATTTTTTTTTTCTTTTTTTTTTTTATTATATAAAATCTCACCTTCAAAAACAGCTCACCAAATCCGACTTTGACGAATTCGACTACATCTTCGCCATGGACCGTTCCAACCTCGCCGACATCCAAAACGTCCAGCGGTCCAAGCAAGGATCCAAGGCTAAAGTGATGCTTTGGGGTGAGTACGCCGGCAACGGCGGGCAAGGGAGGAAGACGACGGTGGAGATTGTGGAGGATCCTTATTATGGGGGTCGGGAAGGGTTTAAGGTTGTTTATGAGCAGTGTACGAGGTTTACGGGGAATTTTTTGAGGGAGGTGTTTCCGGACGTGAAGAGTGAGCTGTGACCTATGAGCCGTGAGCTGTGAGAGCTAGGAACGAGGAGATGCTTGTGGGGAATGTGATTGTGTGAGAAGATGGCATGAGGAAGAGCAAAAGGGGATCAAGAGATCAGGGATAGGTTCTTTTTTTAAAGCATGGATAAGACATCTCATGATAGCAACAGCCAGAAACATGAGGAGATTCGGATAGTAAGCCAAATGTTCTGAGGTCGAGGGTTATCGCGTAGTGTGATGAGAATTTCACGTTCACTAGGCATACACAGGTATATACAAGGACGTTGTGCAGACAAGCGCCGGCCACAATGCCGATCGTTCTCCTTCTGGAACGAACCTCTCGTTCGAGACGGAGTGACTACATAATCTAGCAGTTCATCCATACCAGTCATTTTTTGAAAAAGAAATCTCGAACCACACGATGATCTGCACCTCCGTACCTCCATTGTCTATCATCGATGCAGCAAGACACACTGGATGCGACCAAAGTCTTTTCCGCCGAGGTTGATTCCTCGCAATCTGGTCACATCAGTCCAAGGCATCAGGCCCGTTGATATGAGTCTATTCATTTTCTCTTACATCGTCATATCTCGTCAACACTAGGAAATTTCGGTTCTTCTCAAAATGCGTGCATTCGTGACTCTGACCCCACAGTCGGCTTAAGCGCCGGCCTGGACAAGCTTGCCGGGAACGGAATACTACGATGCTTCCCCCTTCTAAGAATATACTTTATGCACCGTTTCATGCGCCTTGGCGAATGTCTTAGTGTTCCTGCCGAATTCAGGGGGAATACCGTGATGTGATGGTATGCAATGTGCAAAATGGGGGGCAGAGAACCTGGTGCCTCTGGGTTGTTTCCTTTGTCGCGCGGCTACATCTCGAAAGGCTACTGGTCGAGGTCTCTATGGTGTGTGCCACTAGAGAACAGGAAGGGAGCGAAGTAGGGTGGCTTGGCTTATAATGCCACTGCTGTTATTACCCTGGGCTTTTAAACTGGTACGTTTATGTTGCTAAGTTTGGCAGCACTGCCTGGCAGCAAGGTAAGAATAGCACGGCATCAATTTTGATGCTAACACAAAGCGCAAAGCAGCCGTCTCCTGGCGTATAAATCCTCAGAAGAGCCAGGCGGCTTCTTTGGTTCTCCCTGTACAGCCACGATGTGCTCAATGCACATAAGGCCCGAGATCTACAGGTACAAGGACGAAGTACCAGCATCGATGGATCCATTTTTAGTAAACGGCCCCCAAAGTCGTCTTGGGGAAGGCTGCGAACAGGTCAAGGTCCTTCTACTTCGTGGTGTACAGAGTACGAAGACGTTGTTTTGGCCCCCAAAAATGTTACTGGTTCTCCTCGGGTTGCGGTTGGCAGCTCAGTCTTGGCGTGGATGCTGCCCCGTTCTCTCGTAGGGCAGGACCGGGGATAATAGCGTGTAGTACCTCAGTACTTGCAGGGCTCTTGTCGGAGGGGCCAGGGGAAGAAGAGTGAGATAAAATGCGAGTCAGCATTGTTAGTCTCGTTCGATTCAATGATTCGATGATTTTCTCTCCTTTCGTTTTGCAATGGAAATTGATGCTCCGTTGGTTGATGGTATTGGCGCCTTGATTTTATTAATCTTGCCTGCCAAGTGCCTGGCCAAAGCGGAGCTTTCCTTGTAAACCTTGTCCTTCAAACGCTGAAGGGCCAGCGGCAAATGGACTGGATGAGCCATCCGGTTGGCTTTTGAGCCTGTTGGTTAGCCCAAGTGGGCTAGGGTAGGTACCCTGACGTTGACGGAGGGAGGATGATGGTGGGGTACGATGGTATAGGTACATTACATCAAGTGTTTGCTATCCATTACTGGTGGATTGCCTTGTACATCCTCAACTCAGACACTTGGATCCCCAAATGCCACTGCCACATGAAGGAAACTATTATCAAGCCATTAATGCAGAACGGGAAATATCGACGGGGGCTGGAAAGTATGAAGTGGTGAAAGCAGGAACCAAACTTGGAAAGCGCAAAGAAAGAACATTGGAGTGTGGGACGGACCAGGGACTCGACTAGGTACAAGTTACAAGTATGAAGTAGTAATACTTCGTGCACTGATAGAAGCCAAGTCTCATTTGATCCCATTACGAAGTATTTGATACTGCGCTGCGGGGCTGAGATCAGCCCCTCATTCTCACATTCTCGCATTCTCTCTCTCCCAAGCTGCCGTTGCTCATTGTTCATTGTTCATTGTACGAATTCGTGACTATACAGTCCTCGAAGTACTGATTCGGTCATTGTGATGGATCAGTTCAAGTCCAAGTCCAAGTCCAGCTATTGTCCTTGTGCAGCCTAGCAATAATTGATCTCTGTCATCAGCACCAAGCTATTAGTCGAGGTCCTTCAGTGCTTGCTTGGTTCGTTGATGTTGATCTCTCCTGCTACTGGCTTATAACGACGAGCCTTCCCATCCATCAACTGCCTCCTCCTTTCTCTTCCTCGTGGACTCTTGACTCGCCCCTTTTATCTACATTTCTTTCAACGACTCCTGTCCTTGTCCTTTGTCCTTTGTCCTTCTTCCCGACGAGGATAAAAGAACGCAGCACTTCCCTTGTCTTCATTCCCCTTCCGCCCTCTCCACTTGTCCCCTTCGAATCCACTCGCTCGACATCCGTCTTTAAGGGTAATACATTGATATACCATTTCATTCCCCATAGGGCCCATACATAAACCCAGGGCTGCCCGTTTTGATACCTGCTCGTGCCGCGTATGCACTTCCCTTTTCCTGCTGGCCAATAATTCTTACCGTCAATACCTTCAATACCCTGCTACTTCTGCCTCTGCTTCTGCCTCTGTGTCTGCTTCTGCTTCGACGTCTACTTACATCCCACCATTCGGCTCGGCTCTTTGCTCCTCATCCGGTCCCCAGCCTGGTCGCCGAATCTCAGCATCTCCTCCCGATCTCGGTCATCGACTTCTCTCTCACCCCTAAGGGCTGCCGAATTAAGCATACTTTTACTTTAGACGCCGTCACTCGTTGCGACCCTCTTTTATCCACCTTAGCTCCTCAATCTCGGAGCATCAGCGCATCCGCGCACACCCGCAATCCGCACAACCCGTCTGGTATCCATCCACTCGACCTACATTAGTCGCACACCAAAGCTCCCCCACTTCCTCTTCTCCCACCTTTCCCCCGTCGACAAAGCGACACGCAACAGAAAGTTTCAAGCACTCACGTTAGGCTACGAAACACCGAAACCATGGGCGATCTCCAGGGGCGCAAGGTCTTCAAGGTCTTCAACCAGGACTTCATCGTCGATGAGCGATACACCGTCACCAAGGAGCTAGGCCAGGGCGCCTACGGTATTGTCTGGTGAGCTGAAAACCCCGATCCCTCAACACCCGCCCCCTCTCTCCCGACCTCCTAAACCTATCTTGTGCCGAGACCACAGCCCTGCCAGACAATTGTGTGGTGGTGCAGCCAGATCAGCCATCGCGACTCGGACCCCGCCGCAAAACCCCGCAATCCACCACAAATTCACACGCGTCTTATCATCTCGTCTCACCCTGCCACGCCCCAAGCTTGGATGGCAAGATAGACCTTGAATGAGACTTCATTCGAGTTTTCAAGACAGGAGACGGGCAGAGGGCGCAAGTTGCCGCTGTGTCTCGTTGCTGATTTAGACTGGGAACCCCGCCGCGCAAGTGCGCATTCGGCACGCGAACAGACACACACATTCACCTGCTCACTCACACACTCTCACTCACTCACCACACCCGATTGATCCGAGCTTCATCCTAGAGCCGTACCGCCGGCTAACTCTTTCATCCACAACAGTGCTGCTGTGAATAACCAGACGAATGAGGGCGTTGCCATCAAAAAGGTCACCAATGTCTTTAGCAAAAAGATTCTCGCTAAGCGCGCTTTGCGCGAGATCAAGCTCCTTCAGCACTTCAGGGGACACCGAAACGTAAGTCCCAAGGTTCATGTGCAACAGGACAACGGAGCACCTTTATGGAGCTCGGAGTGCCCGTAGTGCTTGCTTCTTTGTCGCTCCCACTCTCTCTTAGGGGCAAATCCTAACTTGCGCGCCACTAGATAACCTGTCTGTATGACATGGACATTCCCCGCCCTGAAAACTTCAACGAGACATATCTCTACGAAGGTACGTTGTAAGAAATTTCTTATTGCTCTCGAGCACAATCTATTTACCTTTGCGCGTGTGCGCGTACGTGTGGATGGGAGTTAACCTTACTTCTCTACAGAGTTGATGGAGTGCGATCTTGCTGCCATCATTAGGTCTGGCCAGCCCCTTACCGATGCCCACTTTCAGTCCTTCATCTACCAGATCCTCTGCGGCTTAAAGTACATCCACTCTGCCAACGTCCTTCACCGTGACCTCAAGCCCGGTAACCTCCTCGTCAATGCCGACTGCGAGCTCAAGATTTGCGACTTTGGCCTTGCTCGCGGTTTCTCCATCGACCCCGAGGAGAATGCAGGATACATGACAGAGTACGTCGCCACGAGGTGGTATCGTGCTCCCGAGATTATGTTGAGCTTCCAGAATTATACCAAAGCCAGTGAGTTTTTAGTAGCCCGTAACATTCCTGTTCTTGTCAAGGTCTTTGTCTCACTAATGACACTCTCTCTTCTAGTTGACGTTTGGTCGGTGGGCTGCATTCTCGCCGAGCTCCTCGGCGGACGACCCTTCTTCAAGGGCCGCGACTATGTCGACCAGCTCAACCAGATTCTCCACATTCTCGGCACTCCCAATGAGGAAACCCTGTCGAGGATAGGATCCTCTAGGGCCCAGGAGTACGTGAGAAACCTGCCCTACATGCCGAAGAAACCCTTCCCCAACCTCTTCCCCAACGCCAACCCCGACGCCCTCGACCTCCTCGACAAGATGCTCGCCTTCGACCCGGCCTCCCGCATCAGCGTAGAGCAGGCCCTCGAACACCCTTACCTCCAGATCTGGCATGACGCCTCCGACGAACCCGAGTGTCCCACCACCTTCAACTTCGACTTCGAGGTTGTCGACGACGTCGGCAAGATGCGCGAGATGATCCTCGAGGAGGTCTTTAGGTTCCGCCAGCTCGTCAGGCAGGTTCCCGGTTCGGGCGGCGCTGGACAGGCGGGTGCGCAGACAGGTGCCGGGCAGGTGCCTATGCCTCATCAGGCTGGCGGGCAGTGGAAGGCGGATGAGCCGAGGCCGCATGAGTATGGTGGGGGACATGCGGGGGATCTTGAGGCTGAGCTTGCTGCTGGTATTGATATGAGGCGATGAGTGGATAGATAGGGTCTGAAGGATTGGCGGTTGAGTGAGGCGGAAGGGGCAAAAAGAAGAACTTTTGGAGATTTGAGACTATTTTTTCCCTTTTTTATATCGAAGTTGATTATGTATGTACTCATGCCATGTCGTTTGAGAGGAGATGGATAATGAAGTGAAAGAGTTTCAAGCCTTGCTTTTTGGTTTTGCTGGACTGTCTCCATGACCCTTATTCCCCATCCAACGTAAGACTTGTAGGCGAGGTTTAGAAGACGAGCTTTTTTTCTTTTTTTTTTTCTTCCGAGACTAGAAACAAGACCGCATAAGATCGTCTCCGTCAGATCGGGGCTCCGGGAGATCGACCATGTGCATATACACCTTGCCATGCCACTCGGATCCATCCATCGACAGGTCCGCCGATCAGAACATCTATTGAGCACATCTTTCTTACATTACATTCTCATCCGTCTACAATTGGACATTAAATCATAGTCGGTTCACTTACACCTTGTGATCCCAATACCAGCCAGGTCGGGGAAACACATGAAAACCCCATCGAAATGAACGGATTAAAACCCACTCTTTTTCATTCCCGGAATTAAAGTAAACTATATATATATAAAAGAAAAGACATGTACATGTAAAAACCCACGCCGGATACTCCCACTCACGCCGACGCCATTTCCAAACCCATTTTTTTTCCTCCTCCAGAGCACATTTCCTGCTGTTCCCCTCCATTTATTCCGACCCCAAGCCACTTGGGTATCTCCAATCCAGACTGCGCCGGCTTCTGTCAAGCATCCCCATCTCCAAAAGACAAAACAAAAAAAAAAAAAAAGAGAGAAAAGAGTAACCCCGAGTTCGATAGGCAACAAAGACATAACTCCCCTTTTGGTCAAAAACGAGCTAGGACAGAAACAGACGGTACGTTCCCCTGAAAAAAAGGAAACAAGAAAAAGTAAAAGGAAGTATGTGCGGAATTAAAGATTGGTGGGAGGGGGATAGGGTAAAGAGGGAGTGATGAGAGCTGATCCAGCTCCCGTGCGGTCCCAGAGTGTCGCTTATAGACCCCATATAGGTCTGCCTTGATGGAGGGGAGGATAAATCGGCTCGCTAGTTGATGTTGACAGGGGAACGACCAATTTAGCCGTACATGTAATAAAACGTCGCATACTCCGAGCTATCATCACCCTCCGACGTACAGGCATGACCTGCCCCACCAACGGTATTCACACGATACACGTACTGAATCCCCGTCGAGCCACCAGCATCACCCAGCAAAAGCCACTTAACGGCCTTGCTCCCATCCTTGCTAGTGGCCGCTGTCGCGGGTGCGTTCAGGTCATCCAACTTCTTCGCGCGGAAGAAGTCACCGCCAACATCAAAGGTAGGAACGCCGTTGACATCAAAGTAGTGCACGCCCTTGAACTTGAGCGGGGCATTGGCGCCGGGGAGGGAAATGTCCGCGGGGGCGATCCAGGGACTGGATTTCACGACGGCGGGGAGGGAGCCGGCGATGCGGCCGAGGGTGATGCTCGCGTCGATGTTGAGGGGCACGCTGATGTCGTGGGCGGCTTCTGTGGCGAGGCCCCAGACGTCGTTGAGGGAGAGGGACGAGGCGCCCTGTGCGGGGAAGAAGGGCCAGACGTCGTAGAGGACGGCGAGGGCGCCGGTGGCTGTGGACGTTAGGGTGTCGGAGCCGTCTGTTTTTGTGCAGGTGTAGTTTTGGTAGCCGTGGCCGAGGACGACGTGCCTTAACTTGGTGCCAGTTGGGGGAGCGGCGAGTTCTCGCTCTGTACCATTGTCAGTCTTAGTTGGACTATGGTCGAACATAGATACACCTAAAGAGGGAAGGGGATCAAGACTTACCACCGCCATTGAGAGGCAGAGCTGGAGGAGGAACGGGTTGAGGGGCGGCGCTGCAGGAACTTGATACCCTCCTCCTGGGAGCGGCCGAAGCGAGGGCCAGAGTGGCCAAGAAGACGAATCTCTTCAGAAGCATTTTTTGGGGGGAAAGAAAGCCGTAATGAGGAAATGACTTATACTTGATCGAAAATCGAGAGAAGAAGAATGAGATGGAGAAGAAAAGAAAGGTTGCAGTTGAGAAAGAAAGTAAGATACTCCAGGATAGCCCTTGTAAAGTATTCCAACAGAAGAGGAGGGAGAAGAGGTAAGAAGAGAAGCAAAGCTCAAATGTAAGGTGACGAAGAAACCGGAATAAGAAATAAAGGAAAACAGAGGCGTCGCAATGAGAAAGAAGAAGAAGAAAAGAAAAAGCAAGTGAAGCTGAGAGAGGAAACGCTAGAAGTGACCGCGGAGCCGGCAGAAGCAAGACCTAGCAAAGACGGTGTACTAGTAAACGACCTGCAGTTCACTTATATGGACGATATAGATAGATATATGCAGGCAGGCGGCAGCTGAAGGAGGAAAAGGCGGCCGGGGGTGGTGGTATACGAAGATGAGGCGCAGTCGAGGAAATGAAGTCTTTTGGGTACCGGCGCTAACGGATGCCGTGTACGGAGCAATAATATAAGTCCCCCTTCCTGAGGTAGACCGACGCGAATATACAGAAGGCGTATAGACGTGTGTGTGTGTATGTGTGTGTGTGTGTGAATATATATTTTGTACAAAAGTGAGAGAAATCGGGGGGAGATCCTGTCCCGGGGATAAATAGGTAAAAACGGGAAACCGTCAATATGAATGAATAAAAAGTAAAAAGGTTGGTTCGCTTTTTATCTTGTATTGGCGAAACCGGGAGTGGACGAAAGCGAAGCGGAAATGAGAAGTGAGGAGGTTGGACAGTCGAATCGATCCCAAAGAGACACACGGCACGGGACAGAAACGACGCCTTTATAATATCCAGCGGACTGGATCTGGGGAAAATAACACAAACATACACACACAGAGAGAGAGAGGGAGGGAGAGAGAAGACACACAAACTTCGTAGCCTCCTGCCCTCGTGGTTTTGCGATAACGCATGCAGCGCACCACAGACCTCCTTGGCCTGACCTCGATGGCATTCATTTCCGGAGTCGTGGCTGTGACGCTTCCTCTCGCAGGGACCCTGCAAAGAAGGATCACTTACACGCCCCGCGTCGTAGCTTAGTTAACGCTTGACCTCCATTGTGTTGCACGCTAAGGATTCAAGAGTGGAGATATGAAGAAAAAGAAGAGAAGGTCATCATCAATACGAAGCAGATAACACGGACGGAGGAGGTACGTTCGACTCCTGGTCACTCCCAGGCGCAGGTCTTTGACGAGGGGACCCTGCCGAACCGCGAAAGGACATGATACGGATTGAGAGCGTTACAACAGGCAGGAAGAAATAGAACGGCCATGGCTGCATGCAGCTAGCCATCGTCTGGCAGTCATGGGTCGAGATATGGGCCATGGCTCTCAAAGCCTTCCTTGGACGGGCATGTATTGGCGCTTACTGGAAAGAGAGGATGAATCCTCCGCCCCACCTCGCCAGCGAACTTGTTTGTTTGCTCTCGATGCCTGATTCGGAGCACTTGCTCGTCAATGCCGAAGAAGTTGAAAAAGAGCACTACGTTTGCGAGGGGGTGCAGCGGAGAAAAGCCGGAAGTGCTTGAATCAACTGCGATTAACCTTGAAGGAAAAGAGACAGAGAGAAAAAAAAAAAAAAAGAAAAAGAAAAGAAGGAGGATTGGAAACGGAAAAGCGACGCGGAATATCGCCCAGGATCACAACCCTGGGACCTCGCAGACTCGACAACCAGTCAGGATGAGCGGGACAAGGGTGCCGATGTCTGGATCTGGCAGGCAAGGCAGGTACAAGCAAACTACTTGGTTACCTTATGCCCTTACATGACAATAAGAATAAAATACGAAGTAGAGGAGGGTTGGTACCTTGGGTGGCGGGTAAGAAATTGGAAGACCCCTGTAAATGATTCAATGGATCTGGAATCCGCCGCCGTCGCCCTGTACGATGTATTTCGTGGTGGAGTGTACACCACAGCCGGAGAACACTCTCTCCGTCGACTATTAGAATATGGTACGCTAGCGGAACCGTAATTCCCTGGAGGGGTTCTAAGCTCATGCCGTGTCGGGCCGGCTGAGATAGATGCGCCAGTCTTAGGATGAAAGATGGTGAGCTCGAGTGGGAAGGTGTCGTCTTCTTTCAAGGTGCTCCTCTCGAGTTCTCAACACGGACCGCCTGCGATCCTGAGAAAATGTAAAGAAACCTGAGCACTCCATGCCCACCTCCGTTAACAAGCAGTGGTGGCTCGGCACATCACATCCTTTGGACCCTAGAAAGCTTGACGCGGGGCCTAGCATGGCAACCTGTGCCGTATATCCTGCAGAAGTGTTCCCGTTTCCCTCGCCATGCTTGGGGTAATACTCACAACTTCGTAATTGAGCCGTGGGCTAGGCTAGCGATCCCGCCTCCATCCCTTCATCCCTCCATCTCGGCACGGGGTTTGCCAGGAACATGGGGCTTCCAAGCACTATGCCGGATTAGGAAAGGCAGCAATAACGGGTGGACCAAACAAGGATGGTTGGGCCTCTCATTGTCGCCCATAGCCGCGAGCCTGAGTGTGGCGCGCACCACCCAAGCAATTGAAGTCTTGCAAGTGGGGCGCCCAACACAATGAACGCACATTGGAATCGGAGGTCCATGGAAACCTGAAATATCAGACATGAATTTGGGAAAACATCGGTAATTTGGAAACTGGCCGAGATTTGGAAGAGATGGAAGCGGGGACGGAACTAGGTTTCGTTTTTCATCTGATACGGAATGGCAAGCCGCGATTTCCACTGCTCCGTACAAAGAAACGCTCGTTGCCATTTGAGAAGCAATTGAAGATCAAGGTTGGAAAGTGGGGGTGACATGGGCAAGCTTTCATCGTCAAGACTCAGTTGCCCGAAACTGCTCCTAAGCATGAACTACGGGTTGAGTAGAACTCTTCAATCTCTCTCAATAAGCTCCTTATCCCAGAAAATGCAGTTGTATGTCTATTCGCAGGCATGAGTCCGAGAGTGGTGCAAGTCCGAGGTGTCAGGCCTCTCTGCCTTCGCCCACTAGGCTTTGTGATATCTGCGATGTCACCGGTGGGTCAAACACCCCCGCAAGAGAGACTAGAGTCAATCTGTTTTAGCTGTCCCATAAATTGAGGCCCGGAATTGGCTGCTCTAATCGCTTCGGCGCGCTTCTTCTGGCCCTCACTAACAGGGCAATACCGATACTGGTACTTCGTAGTTGTAGATTGGATGTGAAGGGGATGTATTGAGAGCAGCTGAGAACAATGGAGGCAGGGTACAAAGATGGTAGTGAACGAGGCTCGATATTGCTGCACGAGCAGCCCGGGAAGTCCTACCGACAAAGGACGAAGCAGTGTTAGAAATCGTTTAACTCGTTGGGTATTTGGATTCTGGAAGGCATTCAAACAGGAGCTTTCTTCAGGTAGGATAGTAGAGTAGAGTAATCCTTTGAAATATCTCTTCATGTACGCTTCGACGAAGGTTGCAGAGGAGGGCAAGGAGGTTGCATCATAGAGAGCGAGTACCAGTAGATGTGGATACGAATGGAACTGACCTCGCAAAGCTTACCGGTGGTGTCTGTTTTTGAAAAAGGTGCGTTGGTAGATGCTTTTTTGGAGTTTAGTATCACCACTATTTTCTGGTGAAGCGGAGGTGCTTTGCGAGAGTTGTTTTTTTTGTGCCAATGTATCTCAGTACCATGTCTGAGGCCCTAGAAACTGTCAGCAGAAAAGTACGAAGTACTTTGAAACTTGTGCGTTCCTCCCTACCACTAGGCGACTTCTTTAAACCGCGCTGTTTTACAGAGTTTCAGGTACTTTATAAGTACCTCTACTTTAGGAAGGTTTTACGAAGCATGTTCAACCTTGAGGAAGAGCAATGAGAGTATTTTCCTTCGTATACTTTGAATGAGTGAAGTAAGACTGAGGAGTCTGAGGTACCTTCATTTGGGACGACTTCACTTTTGCCTTAAACCCTTGCGCGGCTACGGGTCAACTCCGAAATTAGCGTGGTGGATTCTGGCTGCTGCAGACAATCGTCGCATCAACGCATCAACGCAATGGTCTCGTCTTTGATGAACGGAGACCTGCCTCTCGACCCAGTTCGGCGTTCGGAAACGGGAGGTGTATTATGTGGGGGGGAGTCATTTTTCAAGGTGTTTAAGTTCCCACCTCCTTTTTTGGAAATTCCAAGTGGTCTCAAGATTGCACGGGTATGATAACAATTCTCCCATCCCAGAGGATTTGAGTTGGTCGTTCTGTTCTGTTGGTTCTTTTTTTTTTTCCAGCCGGATCGCCGGCACAGGATCCTAATAGGCCCTTCCTCTCCCTCGGGTCCGGGTCGCGGGAGTTCGTCCCTCAAATCCCACCAGTCCGGGTCATACGAAGCAGGAGGATTCTCAAGCCTGGAGCAAACATTGAAAAGGCATTTGAGCACCGCCCCGATTGCCCCGCAATCAGGACTCCAGAAGAGGTGTTGGCTTTGAGCCTAGAAACAACCCTGAAGATGTCTTGACTTGTACCCACCAGGCCGCCAACGTGGCCCATGATTTCTAGATGTCCGTCTCGGGTCAGGACAACGCTTGGTCCGATGGTGTGTGTGTCCTAGAAGGGATGGATATTATTACCGCACACCACACACAAAGAACGCATTTGCTTCGTCGGGTCTTGGCCCTGCCACCTTGGCCCTCTTCGGCGGATATTGCAGATGTCCTGTTGGCTTAAGGAAGTTAAGGATTCGTAATGGGCGCCTAACCGCTTGGCACTTTTTCCTGTTTCTGGTCCTGAGGCGGAGTACACCACGAGTACCTCCGGTCTAGCGCGCGGATCTGGCGCAACCAGAATAGAACGACAAGGGGGGGCGATGGATTCATCTCGACTGACTGGAGCAGACTGCGTCGTCTTGAGACCTTGGCATTATTTGCAAGGACCACAAGGCGCATGCTTCTAGCCCTGTAACTTAATGGAAAGAAAGTACAACTTCGCCATGCTGTTCCAGGTTAGATGGGCAGCCAACCATACGTTGTACTGCACTGCATTGACACTCGTTCTCCGGAGTCGTTTTCGGTCTGGCAGAGGTTGCGGAAAATGCGGCGTCGGACACCGCAGCGTTCAGGTGACCATATCTGCAAGTCTATGTAAGCCCCCAACTGCCAAGAGGTTCAAGAGCAATATGGACGTCGGCAGAACAAGTTGGCGAGGGGAGTGCAGCGGGTGCAGGGGCCTACGAAGGAAACGGTAAAGAACAGAGGAGTTCCACGGAGAGAAGATCCCATATTGCGACCTGCCAAATCCGACACAGCAGCGGGGTAAGAGAATTTTACGAGTTGCAGGCTACAATTTCTTACCGCTTGTCACTTTGGGTATGTAGATACGAAGCGAGTGCCACATTTGATTCTGGCTCCTCCTGTGCTTTTGGCACTTCGTCAGTCCCATGTCGGTTGATGCAGTTTCTTGTACACATTTTTGCCGAAGTACGAAGCTACAGTACTTCGTAGATTCCATAGCTACGACGTTGCGATGTTACAATGCACTTGGAATCTTGCGTCTTTCTGGCAAGATCCCTTGATTACGAAGTACCTTGGGCGACGAGAAGGACGGAGCGCGGCTATTTGTTCCTCACCAGCCGGCAGCTCTCCCCGGAGGTTGTAAGCGAGGGTTGGGGAGGAAAGACTGGGAGGGCGAGATAATAGAAACAAGGTCGTTTGGTCATTGCCAGCGCTCTCTCTCCTTCCTTGGAAGCTACCAACCATTTCCGTGCATTTAGCTAGTTTTACGAAATAGTAATTCAGGACTTTGGAAGTTCATCCCATCTTCCTATTGTCCGCTCCGAAAGACACACGGGTCACTCTGTGACGCAAACATGCGCTCCAATTCATGGCTTCGTCTATTTTCCCGCGCTCGAGACGGTTGGCAAAGCCAAAAAGGGCAGCTAGCAGGATTCCACTCTCAAGGCGGATGCAAGTCTGAAACGCGCACGTTCTTGTCGTCCTTTGCCGGTGTGCCCTACGGACGCAGTGAAGCACGAGCCCTTTCTCATGGACCCCCACCAGCCTTTTTGCATGCGAGCAAGGTCTGTGAACTCGGGAGATTTCCTTTGCCCTTTGCAAGCTTTAAATCCAAGGCAAAAGGTACCCATGTTACTAGTTTCAGGGGAATGTGTTTCGTGTCGCATCAATGTCAGCACTAATATAGTCAAGACGATGGCTCGTAGACGATGCTACTTCGTATGCTGCGATGGCTTGGGCCCAGATGCTCAGATGAACAGATGGGAAAACAGCTTCCTTCCGATGCTGCAGTGACATGCGGATAACATTGATCCCCTGTCTGTATCACGGATCATCCCCGCGACGGGGGGTCCCTGCTTGCGGATCAGCAGGATCAATTGTTTTGTTTTGTTTCTAGCCCTAAAACTTAGTTTATTAAAGGGGGTTCTGCTGCTGCTCCCTGCTCAGTCCACTATTATTCAGTCCGTGCCCCCAGCACAAACATCGCGAACGGACCGGCTCTGGCCCCCGACAAACCAGCCCTATGAACCTTTGTCTCCACGTTTTTTTTTCCGAGAGAAAAGATGCACGATTGGGGACATGTTTCGAGTTATGTTTGCCCCTCGCCCTGCGGAGTACATGGTAAATATCTAAGATGCGCAGGAGGTTATGGCCTGCTTGCCGAGTCGATGGCACTGGATTGTGCAATGATAAATGAATCTTAGGAGCGCTCTGATAGTTCTGGGGGTCTCTCGTGTTTCAACTTCGGTAAGTAATAGGGGACTTGATGAGAGGGCATGGGCATGGGCGTGGAAGTGGTATTGATTTCTCTATCTCTTCGAATCCTTACTCCGTTAGGGAATTTTAGAAAGCACCCGGGATGATCGATTCCTCCCCTTTCTGACCGTATCTCTCAGTGCGGCGTTCCACGAGCCGTTGATCCCAGATCCTAGGCATAGCAACGGCATCTTCCTCAAGGTCGAGGTCGAGGCCAAAATATTATGCACGTGTTTCCTCTCAGATGGTCCCTCTGGTAATTTTCAAAGGCTCTTCTCTGCTCGATGTCGCCATCAAGCCGAGAAATTGCTGCCTAGTCGGTGGTTGAATGAATTACCAGACATCGACTCTATGGCGAGCACACCCGAGCGACTCTATTGGCGTTTGAAGAGTTCGGGCTTACGGTGTGTGGCGGTTGCCAAGACAGGTCGACACGCACGCATCACTAATCAGTTAAACCGCTTGGCGAGCCCAAAGGCTCATCCACTCAATGTTGACGGAGCGAATCGCTAGGAACGAAGTAAATCGAAGGTATCTGACATGGCCCAAGACATTGGAGCGTCGTCATGATTAATGATCATTCATTTCCCACCACTGCAAAACCGCACCCTTCTTCTTCCCTCTACGAAGAAGCTTGGAAACGAAATGGAATGAGGCACGTAGGCACGGCATTATTGATGGGTTAGAGTACGCAATAATCCGATGGTTTAGAATACGTCAACACGGGCATCAACCTTGTACGATTAGAAAACAGGTCGGGTAAGCATGACGAGGCGTCTAATCGCGACAATACGCTCGAGATGAACCAGGAAGATCGAATAAGTTGGAGACATGATAGACTCGTAGTCCGTAGATAAAAGGAAGCGGATATCTCCATACCGTCGAGAAGGGGATATTGAAAATCACCATCATCATCCAGGAAGAACAGGGTCTCAAGCAGCAAAACACCATCAACAGAATTCTCCCAAAAAGCCACATATTCGCCGCAAAAATAATCACCTCCTTAACACACATACCCCTTCATCAACAATGTCCTCCCCCAAGCCCGTAACCATCTACGGCGCCACCGGCAACCAAGGCCGAAGCGTCGCCCTCTCCCTCCTCCGAAACAAAGCCGGCGCCTTCCGCGTCCGCGCCATCACCCGCAACCCGGACAGCGACTCGGCCAAAGCCCTTGTAGCCGCCGGTGCCGAAGTCGTCAAGGCCGACGGCACGGACAGGGCGCAGATGCTTGCTGCCTTCGAGGGGAGCTGGGGAGCGTTTGTTAATACGAACGGAGATGATCCTGTAAGTGGTAGACTGGCCAAGTAGTGTGGAGAAATCATCTTCTAGGGACCTTTTGACTTACACGAGGATTCTTTGGGTAGGCTCTCGATCAGCCTGGTGGTCTGACTGAGGTTGACATTGGCAAAATCATCCTCGACGCCGCTGCCGATGCTGGCGTGAAGCACATTGTCTACAGCGGCATGGCCTCCGCCACTGAAGTAACCGGGGGCAAGTACTCGGCACCTCCTTTCGATAGTAAGTTCCTCTCTCTCTCGCTCTCTCACCACGAAATCAATCATTCCAGCTCACACAAGGCTTTCGTTCTAGGGAAGAATGCAATCGGAAACTACGCCAGCTCAAAGTCCGCCTTCGAAACCACCACCATCGTCAGCCCCGGCAACTACATGGAGAACTTCCTCATCGAAGACCTCGCCGCCATATTCCGCGGATTCCCTTATGTTCCCGACGAGGAGGGATACTTGACTCTCGCAACTCCTCACTGGGGAGGTACCGAGCACGTGCCTTACATTGCCATTGAGGCCGATTATGGCGATTTGGTCCACGGCGTTCTGCTTGACCCTGTCAAGTATAACGGCCGATTCATCCAGGGATTCAGTCAGTCGATTACCTCGGATCAGGTTACCAAAGACTTTCAAGAGGGTAAGCAAGCCGCGGTCCCTTTCCTCGTGCTTCTATTTACATGGCGAGGCAGCTGCTGACATAACCCACAAGTCACCGGGAAGAAAGCTCGATTTGTTTTCATGAGCAGCGTGGACGACATCCAGACCTACGGCATGAAGGCCCTCGAAACAGTCAAGCACGTCTTTGGCTTTTCCCAGGCAAGCGGTGGTCATTATTTCGGGACCCCCAATGATGTTGAGCGGGCCGCTGAGTTGAAGAGACTTGCTGCCGAGGCGCAGGGGAAGCAGGGAGACGAGACGAAGCTGTTGACGGTCAAGCAATTCTGGAAGGATCACTTCGCCTCCTAGACTACACAGTCTAGGAGCTGGGACGTTGCAATTTGCTCTAATGGGAGATTCGTCGCTTCTGAGGGTTTTCGTTGGTTGGAGCTCAGCTATTTCCCCCCAAGTTTTATGTTTATGATAGTCATTGGTTAATTTGTTTATTCATGTTGTGTTGTTAGAATGGAAACCTCGTGCTTGGGTATCATGGGTATCTATGTGTTGGCCCTTCTCGAAGTTAATGCTAAATCCTTTATATGCCCGTCGGTGCCAAAAAAAGGTGAAAAAGAGGCTCTGGAATTGGAAGGTTCTTCGTGAAGGGAGAGAGGGGGGAGAGGGGGAAGAGAAGAAAAAAGGTTGGTGATCATAGTCCGCTATGCGTTTCAACCCAGCGGTACTTTGGATCCTAGGAGTTTTAAGTATTCCTGAAGTGTGACTCCCAAAGATCCCACGGTCCCCTGCTGTCGAGAATCTTGACCCAAATTTTGGTATTTAAGGTTACTCTGGGCTCGAAAATTGACTGCGGGAGAGGGTAAGGCGCGATGGGGCGATGAACCCTTTCCCAACATCATAAAACATGTAAGCGTACCCCCGTACACTCGACTCTCCATCAGAGATTTGAGGCATACAGTGGGCGGTGTTTTTGTTGTTCTTCGTCCATCCAACGAGTCAAGATCCTCATAGCCTCGGAGCTCGCGGCTCTTTAGGTCGTGCTCTGAGTAGACGTAGCATTGGGAGCATTACGGTACGTGTCCGAGAGAATAGTCCGCCAGCTCCGTAGACTCCGCTCAAGAAATCACGTCGAATGCGTATTCGGTTCGAAACGCTCGCCAGGCGTAACTGTAGCTTAAGAGAAAAGAAAGGAGGGACGGCGGATAGGAGGTTTACCCGAGGTGGTCCGATCACGGTGCAGGAGGCGGCACATGGTTCCCCACGGTCTTGTAGAGATCCCGAAGCTCGAATGACTCGTGAGCCCCCTCTGGCACTTCTCCGATAACACGTGCCGGCTGCCCGGCCACTATGGTAAAGCTCGGGATGACCATATTCGGCGGGACGATCGCATTGTCCAGGACCTTGACGTAGTCTTTGATAATCGCGAACTCGCCTATCACGACGTTATGGCCGATATGAACGTGGCTGCCTATGCTGGCGGCCCGCACGACCGTCTTCTCTCCGACAAACACATGGTCTCCCATGCGGAGGGGCATATGACTGTAAATCCTGCACGCACATGCCACGTCAGCCCTTCCGATCTCGAGATTTTATACGGAAACGGCCCGTCCTATACCCTTTAAACAGTCGGCCCGGAGGTCGGAGCAACGAACCCCGACTTAAGAAGCAATATCGACCCATAGCGACCGACGTCGAGCTTCCGGATCCTTGGCCTGACGAGGATGACGGTTGCGATCGCACGAGATCGCCGCGGATCATGGCTTCTGGTTGGATCACCGACTTTCCTCCGAGCATGATATTTTGAGTACCGACGAGAATGGCTTTCCGAGCAACTTTGTTGCCGGTATCCTAAATGATCCAAGGCGGTCAGCGCAGGTGTCTCCCTTCACTAACAGCAGCTGGAAGATGCAGCGGTGTGGGGTAATGGAAAGGAACAAGTACAAAAACTTACCGTCTCGATGTACTCGCCTTTGGCAGGACGTCTCGACATTCTCGTGGGTGATATGGAAAGTGTAAATGCCAATTGGCAGGTTCAGAGCGAATGCCTCGTCGCAACCCGCGTCAGACTGAGAACTCGCGTTCAAAGCCTAGAATACACAGGTACTTGGGGGCCTTAACAAACGCAGCGTCATGGGGTGAAATGCAGGTACGGGCAAGCCACATCCCACGTGAGCTCGCGCCACACATCTACGCCACTTCTTCCGGATTATCATCACCTGCTAAATTTGCTTACAACCGAGATCAGCCCAGAAGCTGACATCGTTTTGCGATCGCCGCCCCCTCACGCAAGCCTCAGGTCATTGCACTCAATGCTTTCCTGCATTGAAGTGCATATCGATTGCTCTACATCCCAGAAGAAGGAGAGCCTCTTCCGAGCTCCCTAACGAGGTCCTGAGAGCTCCGAACCGTCTCGGAGCTTCCCAACACCCCGCGATTCTCGTCGCTTTTGTGATCTTACAGCTTGTTTGACCGACAATATCCAAGATTCCTGTACAGTCGACGTCTCTCGAACACTCCGGGCGAATGATATAGTCGGCCTCCACGATGTCACAGCAACTCAACCCGCTCCGGCTATTCCAAATAGCTCGGACCGCCGGCTTCCAGCAAAGCAAGCCGGTGCTCCGAATGACCTTCCCGACGGCCAACCGCTCGGTTTCAACCCAAATATACCAACAAATAAAAACCGGTCTCCGCTCAGCGCCCCGCTACACCGCCCGTACGGCTCCGAACCCTAGGTTTCGACCATTCGCTCAGCGACCCCGCCGGCCATTTAGCAGCACATCGGGTCGCTTCCGGAGCTCTAAGGAGGGTTCTAAGTCAGATGGAGAACCCCAGACTCTTGGCGCGAGGTTGAAGCAGCTCACGAAGGAATACGGATGGGTCACTGTGGCTGTGTACCTTGGGCTCAGCGCTCTGGATTTTCCGTTCTGCTTCCTGCTAGTCAGGGTTGCCGGTCCTGAAAAGATTGGTAAGAATTGCGACTGTTCCCTAGCTCCCCGCACCTTGGGCCCCCAGGTTGCATGCCGACATACTAGCTCAAACATACTAACACTTAAAATCAGGTGAGATTGAGCACAGCGTCGTCTCATACTTGGGCCAGGTCATCCCTGGGCCCGTGAAGTCGGCCTACCATACCTCTCGCGAATGGACGAAGAGCGCCTACGCGAAGCTAAGGGGCCAGTCCACAGACGAAGCTGCAGAGGATGATTTTGGAGTGAAATCGGCGCAAGAGGCATACCAGGTGCAAGCAAGTATGTTTCGATCAGTTTCCGTTCCTTTCTTCCTTTCTTCCTTTCTTGCCTCTCTTCGCCATGCATCTTAAGGCCGAGACACTTGAAGTTGTCGCTAACGACACCCTTAGGTCTTGCTACCCAACTAGCTCTTGCTTATGCTATCCATAAGAGTCTCATCTTCCTCCGGGTGCCGCTGACGGCTGCTGTGACACCAAAGGTTGTCAAGATTCTAAGGGGTTGGGGGTGGAAGATTGGCAAGAAGAAGAGCAAGTCCTGATCTCTGGGGCCTTCGTCTTCCACACAACACCCTTTCCTTTCCATGGACATCTTCAGATATACCCTGTACACAACGCAGTCCATTCCATGAAGTCTTCTCTCGCCATTCAGCGTTCTCGAACGTATCACCGACCACTCGCGTGCCCTCGGTCTTTCCCCTCGCCGCCACCCCTTTAATGTTTGAAAAATTTTCTGAAAATCATAGACCATAGACACAATCTGTCTGTTCCACTCTCGAGGACTTCTACCAGCATCATAGACCTTTACATGGAAAAAACAACATATTGTATAATACAAAGTTTGCTCTTTTTACTAAACTCTTCATCCCACATTACCCCCGTAAGATCTAACCGCATACACACTCGCGCAGCAAAAAAAGTTAGCAACCCGCTCCGTCTCCGTCAGAGTTCTAAGTAAGATCATTCTTCACCGAATACGGGGGAGCGTCGGCGGTCTCCGGCCCCCTTGACGGCGGGCTCCGACAGCAAATATCATAGTGGAATATCCGACAAAACCTAGAATCGGCCTGCCGGGGTTATACTTTCCCGGGGCCGAAGTTTGCCCTCCATACAAGGTTAAAGCGAAGATCTTGGTCACGAGATGGGGTTTACAGCAAGAAGGTATTATAGTTTAGCCCCTAATTCTTTTGTGCGGAGAGAGAAGCCAGTTCAGTCTAGGAAGGCCGTTCCTGAGACATTATGGGTGGCACATCCGAATCAAGTTGGTTTAGTCGATGATACATAGCTAGTTATCAAAGAGGGAATGATACTTCACTCCTGTGTCTGTGGCTTGCATCTTTCGAGCTTCCAGAACTATTCTCCGTCTGAACGCAGATAAAAGCTGTGCTGAGTGCCACCAGATAGAAGGGGAAGTTGATAGCGGTGATACACTTTGGATGCAATCGAGGGTTTGGCAAGGAAACCGTATCATGAGAGAACTTACGTTGATGAAACGTGAGCCGGGCTCGCGTGAAACTCTGTCATGCCTTTGGATCGACGACGGCAAACCATCACCGGCGCAAGAGAACTTGCTTCCGCCACGCTTCCAGAAGAAAAGAACATAGTTTTTGTCGATCCCGACAGCGTGTCTGCCACGAGATGGATCGGAGATTGTCGATGAGGTTGGTGGCGCCCCATGAACCGTGGAGATTTCTCTTGGAGATCACTCTCCGCTTCGAGTCTTTTTGCCCAGATACTCTCCCTTTCCCCCGAAAGGCTAACAATTAACACCAATTCATTGATGGGAAATAGGGGAAGCTCCCTTTTGAAAGAAGCGGGTTAAAGGAGGAGTCCCGCTAACCAAATCGCATTGTCCCCCGAACCCGTTTATGCTTCCGAAAGAAATTATCAGCATAACTAGTTTCGAAACCATCTATGCTTTTTTTTTTTTGTTTTCTTTTTTTTCCCCTCTTCCCTTTTTTTTAGCTCCCTCTCGTGTTGTCTCCTGTTCCCAGCGAACTCTATTGTGAGGACTCCACAGCGTTCTTCCCACCGATCGTTTCAGCCGACTTGCCTATATGAGAACTCCGTAAGCCAGGGAGGCAGTAGTCGGGAGGCTAGAGTCGCTCCAGGATCGAAGTCTAGTGTAGTCGAACGTGGTCCAAACTCTCAAATCTCGTGAGCATACACACCGTTCTGAGTTGTGTTTTCATGTTCGAAGGAGATAAGAAGAAGATAGAGCTAAGCAGAAACGTGCCGCTTTCGTTCCGTCGAGACGGTGGCCTAGACCGGGATGGGCAGGTTCATGGCAAGATCTGATTCTAGATCCTTTCTACTGAGCAATGATCGACAAGCCCTGCTAGGTAGGCTTCTACCTTCTGGTGAAGCTCTTTCGGGAGATACATTCTAGAATGTCAAGCGCCGTCGAAGCCAAGAAAAGATCGGCATCGTGGAAGCCCTCGCCAAGCGCCGTGGAATCCGCGGAAATCACAACAAGCAAACTCTCCCCTCAATGTCAAGGGCCTATTTCGGGACGGCAATGGGTAGTTCAGGACAGACAGCCTGCTTGAAGTGGAGAGGATCCGCTCGCCAAGACGGATGTGAAGAAGACAACCAATCTCCAGCTTATACCACATAGCAAAGACCCGCAGACGCTTTTGCTTTAGATCGTGGGGCTCTTTTGCAAGTATGGGAGGTCGAAGTAAAAAGCCAAACCCGGGACATGAGATAACTCTTGTATATGCCCCTCCGTGCACAGTCCGCGGACAATCTTCTCTGGCTTGGCTGTTTTACTAGGATTATGCTTTCTGGGCATTCCACTTCCCTCACTTCCGTGTTCCGGCAGCGTCATTTCTGAAGTAAAAGAGCAAAACGGCTATGATCAACAGGATCAACGGCGTGGAGAGAGTTTGCCTTATGGTGTGGACGCTAGAACTCGGGATTGAAGGAAGAAGGATTTCAGATGGGTTCTAAGTTCACTCGATAGCCACCAAGAGTCTTTGCAATACACCACACGCTGCTGGAGCTGCGCCAGCAATCCAAATTTGGAAGCATATGCGAACTTCCAATACGGGACGGACTAGTGTGGTGGGTCGTCGAGCCGAGGAGACAGCTGGCAAGTACAAGTCCCAGGGGAAGTCAGATTATATCCATCTAGTATAGCTAGTCGTTATGCTGGAGACGGTGAGAAAGTCGTAAGAGAGCATGTTATGAATTGCTTACAAACTTGGGGTGATCTAACATCGAAGGTGAGCGCATTAGACGAGCGCACGACTAGTCGAGCTGTTCTTCTAGACGTTGCCGCATTTAGCTATCATTGGGCTCAAAGCAATAGAGTTTGAGGATGAGATCCGCGGGCGAAGCTACGAAGTAGGGTTCTGTCCATGGGGGGCCCATTCGAAGCCAGATCGTCGTGACGATCTCCGCATGGATAACTGACGTACAACTGATGGGATGGGATGAGATGCCGGAAATTCTTGGCCTGTCTAATAGCTACCGAGTAACAGATTTGATGGAATATACCAACCCTCCGATCCCCAATTACTGTCCCCCCGAAGCGGCTGGCTGACATCGATGCTACGTGTGTATCGGTTCCAGAGCATATTCTCGCTCGTAATAGGAACCGGTTCTGGGTTAGACATGCTCCTTAGCGTGAACTTTATTTCAAGGCCCTGGCGATTCGCGAGATCTCTAGCAGGGGGGTAGGGTCGTTTCGGTAGTGTACAATACTTACAACCTGAAAAGCGCAATGCATAATACGAGGTACTCCCCAAGGAGGTCAGGACCTGATGTAAGGCGTTGTTCCCGGAGAATAAGAAATATAAGGAGTCTGTGGCTTTGGAAGACGCAGGGAGACTGAGAATAGCACCACTTTGGCATCTGTGCGGCCGAGCGTATTTGGGATCATCTGAGAGTGAGAGTGAGAGAGAGAGAAGGGGGGGGCGGGAGAGAGAGTCAGGCAGAGGTGAGTATTCCGGAAGGTCTCCGGAAGGCCTAACGGATTGGAAGGTTCGTTAGGTTTTCCTCGCTCTTGTGTGTCTCTCTCTCTTCCCTTGAAAACCCAGTCACTTTCACCAGCACATGTACTAGTACAGTAACCGAATACTCGGTAACAGCCAAGACGGCCAAGATGCCAGGAGTACGAAGTAACTCTACCTTCACTTGCAAGGCCCTAATTTGCGAGTCGGCCATACACTCGAGGCCAAGTGAGACAGATCCAGGCACTTCAGGGTTTTGGCCATGGAAATTTGGTGGCATGTCTCAAAAGGTTGCTTTCGTGCTTCTGCCCTCTGATAGGCGGTACCGCACGCGGGGACCACGAGTGCCAGGCCATGCTACTTCATAGCTCGTCATCCGTAATTCGTAATGAAGCGGTTTACTTCGCAGCACACTCCGTGGCAGGTGAGCCGGACGAAATGGGACTCGGGCATTGTGGAGCTTGCATGAAAAGTCTGATCGGTCAGAAAATCGGGGAGGGGTGTGATATCAGTTGTCTATCATCCCTTTGTTTGTGAACCATTAACTCGACCATCCGTGGGATTTCTCCGCGTGCTCGGACAACGATGATAAAACCATCGACAGCCAGCTACCGAATTTCATCGTTGACAGAAGTGCCGACACCGCAATGGAGAGGTGGAGAGACAAAGCGAGCGGCATGTAGGCTACCGAATTTGCGAGCCTCCACCGCTGCCAAACCAATACGAAGGAGAGGCCCCTACATTTCTGACTTTGCCAAGCATCGACAAAGTTCAGCCAGGCATCATGGGATCCAGATCCACACATCCCCTCATCTCCTTCACCGATAATCTCTTCGATATGGCATCGCGATGGATAGAATAGAGCGGGGTAAAAGCCTCCCAGCGTCAGCATAACCCACTGTAGCTTCCACTGCATCATATCTTTCCGTCAAGGCGAAAAATGCGTATACATGCCGACGGCTGCTGCGCAGGCACTCGGGAAGAAGAGGAAGTTTATTAGGGTATTTTAACGCTTTGCCAGGCAAAAAGACTGAAGGCAAGAAAAATCGAAAACGGAGGGGGCAAAGAACGCAGCGATACCGGTGTCTCGGTGGTGCAATGGATGGATGATTTTCCCCCCTATTTTGAGGCTATCACCAGTGATGACAGGTGCAATTAAACCTTATTTTGCCAAGGCCGACCCGGATTTCGGGTCGCCCCCGCCCAAAGAAGGACGAGACAGGCGCCTGATCAATTTGTCATTTCGGAGAATTTGGGATGTCGCGACCTGGATTTCAGGGCATTTTCTGGAAGGTGGGACACACGCCCCGGCACACCCCCTCCAGTGTTGTACCCAGCGCACAGACCTGACCAGGGCCCCGGGGCAGCATCAGTGGGAAAGAGCGTTCAATAGACACCTGCGCCTCCTTAGATTCGACCTTCCCCAGCTTGACCATCTCGTATGTTTTTTAGCTTCTCAACAGAAACTGAGGCGTGGGAGGAAGGAGCTTGAGACAGCCTGTGAGACAATCTGTGAGACATCCCTAAATGTCACATCAAGAGAGGCATCCACGATATCTCGATCCAAAAAATTCAGTTGTGAAGGT